AGGACTGCTCGTTTAGCGGCTTGTTTATAAGCTGGTTCGGGAAGTAAGGTGCACTTAGCACTACCTTTACGGTATCACTCCACACCAGCAAAACCACTGGTTACTTTGACTTGCGTGTAGCTGACAGTGACCGGACCGACCGACCGACCGACCGTCACCTTGGTACTTCCCGTAAAAGTTGAATGTAATGTAACTATTTATTCGTGATTCGAAACACTCGCCCATTTCAAGCAGACGTTCAGCAAGAACTTTGAATTGAAAGAAGTTTTGACCGGCCACTTGAAGATATCAAGGGTTGAGTATCCTTTGACCGCCGCCATTGTAGGCATTTTATTTGGGAAGACTTTACCATTATTAGCGCCTTATCAGGCATTTCTGGTAATACTTGTAAGGTCTGCTCGCTTTGAACATTATTGTAAAGCGAAACAACGTAGAATGGCTCGATTATTATGATATTATTATCACTCCTCCCGAGGTCTAGGAAGTGTGCTAATTCGGGGATATGCTTAATACTGGTCAGATAAAACGGAACCTTGGTCAGCTGCTGGCTGACAATATCGTTGAGAAACCACGAGATTCTATCAGTTGTTTCCCATACACAACTGATATGGTACGAATTTCAAATGTACTTGGTATTGTAGAAAACGTTTTGCTAAAGGAGAGTTCATGAGTCTCTATGGAGCTGTAGAAAACTGGACACTTCGAAATATCATCGATACTTGCAGATTTAGCGGCTTTCAATTATATATGATTGCAATATTATAAAAAAATTGTCCCAGTCAAGCGATAGGATACAGAAGATTTGTTAAGATGGAATTTGGAAAGGGCTTGATCGGGTACCAAGTGAACTACGAATCACCACTTCTATCACTAGCTGATATGTATAAGGTTCCATTCGATCTTAACTCGCGCAGTTCCATCAACCTCCGCCTCTGCTCGTAGGTTAAGTTTGTGTTCCAGAGCCTCCTGTCCTGGAGAGCACTTAGGACTCTAAAGGACAACATTTTGAACTTGATGTCAGCCTCGGACACGGTGAGGATTCTCTATAGAAACTACGCCAAAGAAGCACGGAAGCTATCAGGTCTAGAATAGGATTCGAAGAGTCAGCAGCTCATGATCCCGTTTGCTCCCGGTACGCATTAGATTTCTGGACCTCTAAAGACCACTGACAATTTTGCGAGGTGTTGGTTTATTTATGTTCTTCCTAGGTGAAAAATCGGATCAAATTCAACACACCTGATGGGCTGGAGGAAATGTAAGTGTGGCCAAGAACCGTAATGTCTACCATATAACCATTGATCTGGTTCTCACAGCTGATATGAAGATGAAGCGTAGTTGAATTGGTTTCGTGGATGTGGGGTTCCCATAGAAAAAGAAAATTCACAGTTAGCACTTCCACAGTTCCCACTTAACATTAGTACATAGGAATGGCTTTGCCGCTGTTGAAGAGAATTGCAGTTCCGTAATAACAAGTGGATCATTGATACATCTGATACGGCACGCACAGTCTTCCTCCAGGTCTGATCACACAAAGATGCTAGCAACTCGATCTTTCGTCAAGCAATTCAACAAGAACTCCCTCTATCAAACAATGGAGTAGTAATGCTCGGCTGCCATGACAGAAGAGATAGGGATCTAGCAGCACTCATCAGATGTTATCACTTGTTATCAGTCCTGACCACTAAGCATCTACCATACCGAGCCGTTCCCTTATTTGTTATGCCCTGTTTAACATAGAGACGGTTTCGAATAAGCAACTGCTTGATGTTATTTTGCGATGCTCACTGACTGAACATTTTGCAGCCCAGCTGTGGAAATGCTCCGATTTCTTAATTTTAGATAAAAAGAAAACATAGTGAAATTCGTTCGATGTGTAGCTTTCCTCTGCAAACCTCCCTTGGCATATCTATATAATAATCGAAAACACCTAGACCGATGGTAAAGTAAGGGAGAACTGATGGAGTCATAAAAACCCTGATCTCGCATGTTTTATAAAATTTTGCCCACAAAAAAACCCAGACTGAGCGTTGAATGAGGAACTCACACCATTGACTTGGGTCGTTCGAATACGAACATAGAGTCCTGCATGTTTATCCCAGACATTGAACTTATTAGACAGAATGTTTCCGAAGACCAAAGTACTGCCATGATATTCTGTTAAAGTCTGCCAGGGTCGCATAAGCAGGCCCCACACACAAAAATTTAGCTGTTGGCTAACCTCACCCAGAGGTTGCCACGCGGGTCAGCACCCACTAAAGTGCAATGTGGGGGCCTCACCACGGAGGTCCCGCCTTCCTGATCGCGAGATCCCCCCAGCCAAGTAAGTTTACGAAACGCCTGCAGTTTCGACGGCACAGAGAAGTGTGCCGTACGCTGGCTGAGTGAGAATCAACGCTTCCTATTTCTTTCGGAGAGGCGCAGACGGAAAGACAAATGAACTTACGCAACATTCTCACGCTCCCGTGTGTCCTACCCGCAAAAATAGGAAGTACACCCATATAATTGCAGTTGCTATTAGTGAATAAACGAAGGTCCCAGTTGTTAGATGAAATGTTGTCAGAAACAAAGAGAAAAGAGAGGGAATTCAAAAGCATGATTCGTCCTGCTTCCCACTCACAATCAGATAAATCATGCTTCAGCACTCGCCCCCAAGGCTCATCATTGAGACCGGATGAAGTGACATGCGGTTCTCAAGATGATCGTTGAGTAAGTGTAGATGGAATGTCCGGTTGGGTCCCCTCGTGCCGAGACTGGCTAATGCTGAATGTTTGTCTAACGCCGCCAACAAAAACTAATGCTCCAACAGGTTTAGAACATTTGACAACTTTGCTACCTGAGTTGTTCAGGAATTGTGTGGAAAACTGTGTCGTCAAAATCCAATGAATTCATGGACAAAACAAACGACGGAATTGGTGTAGTGGCAAGTGGCGCACTATCGCACATGCGTGGTCACGGGTTCGAATCCCGGATCGATATACGCTAGGCCAAACAAGTCTTCGATCACTCCGGGGTTGCTTAAGTGGTACCGGACTCGTCTGGGAGGACTAAATCCTTTACTTGCACATGAACTGGTCACCGCAAGTCATTGTATGAAGCAAATACACATTCAATACATCAGCACGATTCTTGATGGAAGTCGAAGTTGGGGCACAACAGAAAGTGGTTGACTCAGACTGATTAACGGAAAGACTTCATAATCATCCTTCATTATCGAAACACAAGGTAATCCCTATAAAGTTTGGCGAGAAAATGCCACATTTTTCGAGGGACCATATGTGCCTATCTGCCTTAATCGTTGTGCCCCTGGGAAGATAATGGTCGTCTACTTATTCATCGGCTCTTCTTTTAACCTGCAATTCCTTCGATGTTTACGCTTTGAATCCGATTCAGGATCATGAACTTATGATATGAATATATGATATGTCATGCATGTCATATTACCTTCATGCCCTGAGAGGTATACCTTGGAACTCTCCAAGCCCATACTCACTACCTTACTACTTGTTTACTTTATCTTTTCAGTGACGAGCGCAAGGTCAATCGTCTTATCAGAATTCCTGAAACTCCATCGCGAAAAACTTGTCAGCTTGCTATCACTGAGACAACCGGTCTAATTACATCGCTTTGCGAGCCATAAGTAAAAAAAAANNNAAAAAAAAACTCAAAGCCGTATTGACATCACTGACGTCAGGACCGCTACCCCAGAAAGAAAATCCACGTCTAGTAACCCTCCATCACTTATGAACTTGAAAAATTCACAGGGTAGAGTCGGATTCCTAGGGAAAACAACGAGTTTGAAATCGGTGTAATCAAACATTTCAAATATCTTCAACAGAAAGATGATAGGTCCTTTCATAAGAGTGATCTACAAAAACCTATCAACTAATCTCTAATCAGACTAAGGGGACTAAAAAGGACCTTACAATCAGGGCAATAGATTAGGCGTGAACTCACGGCACTGTAAGCAGTCAGCATTCTGCTGATATATCTGACAATACCAAGCGCCCCTCTTATTCTACCTTAGCTAGACCTGAACAAAGTTTGTTCATCTGACGCACTGGCATTGCCCGAATAAATGGGATAACCCTCTTCAAAAATTTAGAGAAGAAGAAAAAATGAATGATTTGCTCCGAAAAGAGGAATAGAGCAACCACTGTGCAACTGAGACCTTAAAATAGGAAGGACGAGAGGTTGACGTAAGCCATTCCATCCTACTTGTTGTTGAATAAATCTTCAAGTTGAAACGCATGATCGAAATATAATAGGAACATTGTTGAGCACAATGAAATACAGAACATTGCTTGAGATGTACTCTCAGTGAGAGCAATAATCAGATCTTTCCTTCAAAGTAATGAATATCCAATTGAATTGTAAGTATAATACAACATAGTACAGCGTTTCAGAGTGTTAAAAATGATAAGATGATGATAATTAGCAATAGCATAGCATAAGAATTCTGTTAAATAATTACACTGAAGAAAAATTAAGCATGCACAACGTAAGGATGTCAGACTCAGGTCTCATCCTCGTTCTCTGTTGATGTTTCTTGGGTTGGCGTAACCCGCGAAAATGACGCCAATAACGCTTCATAAGCTGCTATCTTCGGTCTAACTTCCGTGATCAGAAGTTCTTCATGAAGACGTTGCATCTGCGCGCAGTTTTTACTAGTAACACCGGCTAATGTGATTGAACCATCAAACTGGAATTTTCAGTTAAATTGCGAAACGTCCAGAATGGAACAGAAAGAGAGAAATAGAAAACCGGGAAAGAACTTACAGCTTTCGCGCTTGGATTCCATGTAAGAGCTTTGTATGAAGTCAGAAGAAACTGTCGGATGAGAAAATCTGCCACTATTTCATCATCGGAGTTACAGAATGGGTATAGTAGCTTAAAACACAGCACAAGTGATAAGAAGGATGAAACTGCTGCAGCAAAATTTTCATAAAACGAAAATGTGACACAGAACGCACCACTTTTTTTAAACTATTACTTTCGAACGCTTCCCGCATTCCTGTCGCTACTCCTATTCTTACACGCTTGTCCGCGTTGTCGCTTTCCTCGCTCACAACATAAATTATATCTGAAAATCTATGAAACTCGAGTAAAAAAAA